CAGTGGTAGATCGCTGATCATCTGGATCTCCAACCCAATTTGAGTCATAAAATGTTGTACGTTGAGAGACTCACGAGTGTATTATAAGCCATGATCATTAGTACCCTTTAAATATCGCAAAACACGCTTGGCAAGGACCAATGCACTTTAGTGGGGGAATGCAAATGTTGACATAATTAGTTCACAGAGTATGCAATTTTGAGGCGAGTAAGACTACAATACTGAAGAGCCTCCACAATTTGATGATAGTATATGATGTCCGATAAAGGATCCCCAAAATGAGAAGAGAGCTTGCTTCTAGCATCACAAGGGGTAGTATACGGCTTGGCGCCTACCATCTTTGTTCGATGCAGTACGCCAATAATATATTTGCTTTGATGGAGATGAAGTCCACGAGAGTCTCGAACCACTTGAATGCCAAGAAAGAAATTCAAATGGCCAGATCCTTTAAGGTAAATTTAGTATAAATCGTAGCAAACAAGGATGAAATGAAAGCATCACAATATTCTGTGATGAGGATATCTTTAACATATACAAGAACATAAATAAGAACACCATCTTGCTGAAAGGTAAAAAGAGAGTGATCCACCTAAGAGCCAATAAAACCTAGATCCACAATAAATTGAGAAAGGTGTTTGAACCAAGCTCAAGGTGCCTGTTTGAGCCCATAGAGAGCCGTGTTGAGTTTGCAGACATAGTTAGGATAACTGAGATCAACATAGCCATGAGATGGTTTAATATAGACTTCCTCATGAATTGTACCACGTAAAAAGGCATTGGAAACATCTAATTGATGAATGTTTCAGTTAAAGTGGATAGCAATTGCTAAGACCAGTCTCCCAGTAGCAGGTTTAAATGTTTCAGAGAAGTCAATGCCTTGTATTTGTTCAAAGCCTTTTTAGCAACTAACCTTGCTTTTTCGCAGTCTATAGTTCCATCGACTTTCTGTTGATTTTATACACCCACTTAGTCTCCATCACGTTTGATCAATGAAACGAGGACAAAGAGTCCAAGTATTATTTTCCAATAAGGCAGCATATTCTTGGTCCATGGCAATCCTCCAATCTTCAGAGGTCACAGTGTGGGAAAAATTTTTGGGCTCAATGAGTGAAGATGTTGTGGTGAGAGCAGCCAGAGGATATTTGATCGATTAGGAGATATATTCAGGAAGGTTTTGGGATGAAGGGAACCAGTTTGCGAACGTGTAATCATGCGTGTCGTAGATGGATCATTCAGAGAAGGTGGGATTGAGTTAATTTCGGGGTGGCATGCGTGTAGAAGATGGAATTTCTGAGAGATTTTCAGTGACAGCTCTTCACGAAAATATGTTCGCTTTGTAAATCACCGTAAGTGCACGGTTCGTTAACAAGTAATAAAGTGAAAATTATAAAATTTCGAATATCGTTCCACGAGGATTGATTTGATTTGATTTTCATTATCAATACCTTAACCGAATCTATTAAACTCAAGATGGTCGGTTATTTGGATTTTTTTTTATAGGTGGTTATTTGGATTTTATGACAAAGCTATGACCAAAATGCAATTTAAGCTAATGTGATTAAATAAATGCAAAATTATGTTGAATGAAAAAGCTTGATGAAATTAATGAATGAAAAGCGTACTAGGATCCCGAATCACCAAGCAAGCTATCTTTTAACCTCTATTTCACAATTCGATAACACGGTAAATTGATTGAATAATCAATGTTTCTAACTTATCCAATAATCTCTTTCGAGTAGAATTGAACATATTCTCGCATACCATTTGACTATATTTCTATGACAAATGCAATAAACAAGAATGCATGATATTTTGTAAACACTTAGAGATTCACGTAGAGTATAGCAGTATATTTCTATCCCCTATCAAACCCTACGACGATTTATACCTTGTAGAATCTATTTCTCTTCTTTCTAATGCATAAAATAGATCACCCAAACTCACATAATCACGTGCATTTAACGCTGGAGGCAATAAAATGTATATAAATCATTCAACATCCATCAATCATGCTTGAATATCAAATTGCAAAATAGAGAATTAAAAGGTCATATTGCAAGGTTCATCGTTCACCTAATACATATAAAGTCTAACCTAACATGAATAAAAATAAAGAACAATAAGAATAATAAAGAGAAGACATCATCCAAAAACTAGAAATTGGACTTGAAATCTTGGGATTATATTGATGGATGGAATGCAGAGGATGATGACTTCTCTTCAATGTTGTTTCTCTCTCCCCAGTACAAAATGGGGCGGCTGCCCAGTTATAAGAAATTTCGCGAATTTTCCTTTCAGCCATTTTCTTCATTATTTCTTCCATCTTGGTCCTTTTTCATTAGTTTTCGCATACTTTTCATTCCATCCATCAATGTAATCATACAAACACAAATTATATCGAATTAAGTCATATTTCAACATATACATCGATAATTTTTCATGTTTTGCGACCTAAATAAATACGCAGAACGCATTTATCAACAAGTGGAGGTGTGATTAATATTAAAATTGAAATGAGGAGAGTGATTTAAGGGAGAGTTTTGATTGGGTAAGGAATCATGTGGTGGTACCGTATTTTGGGGAGTTGATAAAGAAGGTTGAGAAGGAATTAAAGGGCTACTATTTTCGGATGAAGGGGGATATATTGTTGTAATTCGTGGATTGGAAAAGAAAGTGGATGATGATGATGCTACGGGCTGGAAGGAATTTATTGGAGAGATGCCAGGTGAATCAGAAGGCTGATTTGTTGGAAAATAAAGTGGATCATGTGGAGATAAGCTAGAGGGAAGAGAGGCGTCCAACTTTTTCTTTGCAGGAAATAAGTGTTCGTCAAACACCACATGTCGTGACGAGTACACCTTTTTGGAGATTGGGTCAAGACAAAGATATCCTTTATGATTAGAGGAATAGCCCAAGAAAATGCATTGTTCGCTTCTAAAAGCTAGTTTATTAGTTGTGTATGGCCTAAGTAACGAATAGTGGGCACACCCAAAGGTCCTAAGGCAGGAATAGTCAGGGGGTCTGTTGAACAATTTTCTTTCTTTTCACTCAAAATTTAGTAAAGGGATAGGCATGCGATTGCTTAGGCGAATAGCAGCAGAAAAGGCATCTACCCAAAATGAAGAAGGAAGGTTGGATTGAGCTAAAAGGGAAAGCCCAATTTCCATGATACAACGATGTTTACGCTCAGCAATCCCATTTTGTTGGAATGTATAAGGGCAAGTCAAATGGCGGTGAATACCATTAGAGTCGAGGAAAGATACAAATTTGTGAGAAGTATATTCACCGCCATTATCAGTTTGGAATTGTTTAATTTTGCACAAAAATAGATTTTTAACTAATAATTTGAATTTGATAAAGCCAAGAAAAACATCCGATTCATGGGAAAGAGGATACAAACATGAAAATCTAGAGTAGTCGTCAATAAAAATTACATAATAGAGATAACTACCCCGAGTTGAGATTTAGTAGGGTATACCCATACATCAGAGTGAATAATTTCTAAAGGACCTAAAGAACTCCATCTGAGTCATTGAAAGGAAGTTTTTTCATTTCCCCAACTGACAGGAGGGACATAAAAACTCTTGAGAGGCCGGCCCATGAAGAGGGAGCTTGAAAGAAGCAATGATTTGCTTTGTGATTTTATCTGAAGAATGACCTAGTCTTGCATGCCACACATTTAAGGAAGTGTTGGCACCAAAAAGGGCTACTTGTGCACGACATTGATTTATCGTGTTTTTATTGAGACGCACAGGATAGAGGCCGCCTTCACTCTGTCCCTCCAGAAGTGTTTTTCTTGTTTTGTTGTCCTTGACAAAATAACATGAATCCGTTAGAATGAAAAAGCAATCATTATCAATGCAAAACTGATTAATGGATAATAGGTTGGTCATGGCATCAGGACAATGTAAAACTTTGTTGAAGTGGATTGTTGATTGTGGAGTGTTTAGAGAGAAAGAACGTGTGTTCTGGATTGTCAGGCCATTACCATTACCCACAGCCACTGATTCAGTGCCCCCATAGTTCTCCTGAAGAGTAAGAGTTGCCACATCATTTGTAATATGCTGGTTGGCTTCTCTGTCAGCATACCAAGTACTATCCTCATGAAGTCCATTGCCGTGAACCACCATAGCAGCAAGTTGTGAAGGTGGATGTCGTCCTTGATAACTATAATCCATCCCATGGAAGCAATCCAGGGCATCATGGTTTGTTTTTCCACAAATCTAGCATGATACACGTGCAGTGGTTGAGAAATTTCGTTGAGAAGAGTTTGGAATAGAAGAACCATTATTGGAATTCGATTGTTGCATCAAAGAGGCAAAATTTTTCTGTTTGGCCATCGAATTGCTTTGCTGAAATTGGCTACGATTAGAGGAAAAGTTGTAATTCTTCGGCTTTCTTGGACCATTGTGAGAGTGATTTTTGGAAGCAGCAAGCATTGCAAAACGTTGGTTCTCCATGAAAGCATGCTGATTTTGATTTTCAAGAAGAACCTCATATGATAACAGTTCAGATTGAAACTCATCAAGACTCATCATATTTTTCTGTAGAGCAAAAGAATAAGAGGCAATAAAGGGGTTGCAAGACGGATTTAGACCTCCTATAATATAAGAGATCAAATCATCTTCCTCTACTGGCTTTCCGACAGCAGCAAGATGGTCTGCACATATCTTCGCAGTATTCAAGAACTCAGAGAGTCAGCACAACTCTTCTCTTCTTGATGTAAACCCTACAGTTGTCGTTTAAGGGTGTTGACTCTGGAACGTGCTTGAGACACGTATTTGTTAGCTAAGGTTGTCCAGACTTGCTTAGCCAAATTTAAACCATACACAGATGGTAAAACTTGGTCTATAAGTGGGGAGTTGAGAAGTCCAAGAACAAACTGATCCTTCTTGTGCCAAAGCAGGAAGGCAGGATTGATTTCAGTTGATGGTTTGTTCTCATCATTGAGCAAATATTTCTTCGGGCACGGTTTAGATCCATCCACGAAGCCCAAGAGATCATGGCTTCTCAACGCAGGAAGACACTGAGAGGTCCAATTCAAATAGTTTCCACCATCCATTTTTACCGAAATGAATTGAGAAACATTCGGTGCCTTGAAAACAACTGGATTGGTAGTATTTGAAGAAGTCATTTGTTTCAGGATCAAGCAGGAGCAAAAGACTCTGATACCAAGAAAGTTTTTGTGAAATGCTTGGTTTCTATTTTTGATACCAAGACCAAAAGATGGATGTATACATTGTGATAAATAAGGAAAAGATAATAGGCAATTATACAAGATTACAAAGATAAGGAAATAATCAATAGAATTAAAATTAGACTATTATAGGTGTATGATTGACACCAAGATTCATGCCAAGATGTGTGGTCAATCTGCAGATCTTCTAACTTCAGTAACTAACTAAAACATAGTTACTTATAATTCATGGTAAGTATGAAAAGATACCCACAAAGAGTGAAAAAATATTAATCATTAATTAATACATAGATTTGAACTAGTGTTGCGCAATCTTCAATTTAAGCTTTTCCATGCAAATTTGAAGACAGTTAAAAGTAAAAACTATTTTTGAACACAGGATCTTTACAGTAATCAATCCTTGGGAAGAAAAAGATATGAATAGTTAAAACCAACACAGACATCTCAATTCAGGATATATGTGAAGCAAATTGCAGAGAGAAAAGATAAGCCAACTAGATTAACATTTCTGGTACATTTGGTAGGGGGGCTTTGACACCGTTAAGAAAGAAAAAGAAGTTAAAATCTTGTTTATTGTAAGGTTGTCCCAGCTTGGACCTTCTAATATCTAACTTATCTTTCTAGCTGAAAACCTTCCAATTTGAAACTTATTGATCCTTCCTCGAAGCAATTGTTTCACAAAAGAAGAAAGGGAAAACTAATTCTATAATGATCATTACAAATACGACGCAATTTTGATGCAATGAAGCTTGAAATTACCTACCTCATAATTCAAAAATCCACTTTCACGAAGTGATGATTCGGCCTCTTCTATATTGCTGGTTTCCAACTTAGGGTCAGCCTCGCATGGTCGAGAAGAATACCCACTGGCTGAATAATCCTGAGTTGCCAGGGACTCCGATGAAGGAATTATTTCGTCTACTGTTAATTGCTCTCCGGAGCAAATGCATTTCATCATCTTCCTCAATTTTAAGCTAAAGCTGATTTTCGGTTTGTATATCCAATACTTAATGCTCATCCAGTCTCATTGAAGTTGCAATGTTTCTAATCACCAACTAATTAAAACAGAATAAGAAAAGTCGAAACCGTTCAAGAGAAACGCACCAACCAATCTCATATTTTTACTCAAATGGAAAGAGAAGGGGAAGAAGACTCGAGAAAGAAGCAAATGAACATGGCTTTTCGATTTTCAACATCTACAGTTTTCCATTTAGGATTCATAAAGGATTTCAACCACTAACTTTCCATTTTACAGCAGACAAGAAAATTATAGCGTTCATCTTGCATTCAAGTTTCCACTCCTCCATTAAATAAACCAACCAAGGGTAAAATACATCAACAGAACATATCCACAAGATCATGCAATTATAAATGCTAAAAGTCTGAAGAAACTATTAAGCAAATTCTCCCAAGTCCTAAAAACAACTTTAAATCCAACATTTACACACTACCTCTTAATTATAAGCAACCCTACCAAAATATGCAAAGCCCAGTTCAGAAAATGGCCAATAATATCCACATATACAGTTGAACTTAAAAAAAAGATGAATCCGAGTTGTTCAAAAATCACTGTAGAAAGTAAATGTGACTCAAACTTCATCAGAATTCACCAAGCATCCAAGTAGATTTAGCACCAGAGACTTAAAATAAGTCAAAAGAATGCAATTTTTGACATATAAAAGCTGAATGTGAAAAGTTCCCTATCATATTATAGTGAAAACAACCAGCGGTTGAAAGGAAAAAGTAATACATCAATCATTGGAAAGGATACCTTTGGCTCGGTAAAAAGCATCGACTTAGCCCAAAACACATCAAAACCACCGCTGCCCACTTCATCTTGAGCAAAATTGTTTATTGATTTTACCGGTGATCAACCAAGAATCTAATGTTTCTTTCTCATTATTTTACTTTCTAGTGGAATAAATTATGTTAAGACTTGCCACTGGCACTGCCACGTGGCCGACCCACGGTAACTGTGGACCCACTCATGCCGAAGCATTAATCATAGAAGACGAGGCCCTGGGGTAAATTTCGAGGCCCGTTACTCATTCCGAGGTGGACATACCGAAGTGGATCAAGTCCGAGACTCTACCCTCGTTAGTGACGGCCCACGTGCAAAGATCTTGAATTGTGGTAATTATATAAAACCACACATTTTCTTTCGTATTATAAAAAATCAGATTTTCACGTTTTCTTTTCATTTATCAGGTTTTTTATCTTTTAAAAAAAAGTTTTTTTTAATCATTTTAATTAAATAATTATTCATTTAAAACCATAATTTATCAATTCATCCCCCCACACACGATAGTTTCTCTCTCCATCGATTCTCTTCTCCTCCTCCCTCCCTACCTCCTCCTCCCTGTCGATTCACAGTAGCGTTCGACGCTTCTGTGAATGCTGATGTGAATCACAGCAGCGTAGCAGGGTCGATGCTACTATTGGCATCGACGCTGCTGTGGTTGTGGAGGGTTGAGGTTTTTTTGTTGGGTACATCAACTATGTTGTCGGCGGCGATAGGGTTTTTTTGTTGGGCACAGCAGCTGTGTTGTTGGGTACAGTACGCTATTGTGTTGTCAGCGTGATAGGGTGGGCGTGGATCTAGTGGCTGCGACGGGGTGGAGGTGGTGTCGATAGTGCTGTGTGGATTTGTTGTGGGTGGATTTACTGTGGGTGTGGTTATGGGAAGCTGTGTGGTGGTGCGGGCGGCGATGTGACGGTTGTTTTTTGTTATTATTATGGCGGTGGTGGTGGTGGTGTTGTGATGGGGTGACAATGGTGGTGCTGTTCAGGGGACGATGGTGGTGCTGTTCAGGCGGCAATGGTAGTGGTTGGTGGTGTTATTGTTGGTGGGTGTTTTAGGGATTAGGGTCGGCGGCGAATGGGACAAAGTATATATGACAAACTATTTGGTCGTTCTGTGACCCGTGACAAAGTATTGTTGGTGAATTGGGATTGGAGGACGGGTGCGGTGGATGGGTCGAAGTATCTGTGACCATCTATTTGGTCGATTTGTGACCTGTGATCTGTGATCAGTGACCATCTATTTGGTCGATCTGTGACCTCGAAATATTTTGTGACCTACAAAATTTTTGATCTATGATCTCGAAATATTTTGTGACCTAAAAATTTTAGATCCGTGATCTTGAAATAATCTGTGACCTACAAAATTTTTTATCTGTGACCAGAGAATAGTCGTCGGAGTGCTCACGGGTCACAGGAGTAGTCGCCGGAAGGGGAGGTAGGGTGGGGTGGGTTAATAATATTATATTACAGTTAAATATTTAATTTAATATAATAATTGTGAAATATAATTAATTAATTAATTTATGAAAAAGTTGATTTTTTATTTTGGGATAGATAAAGCTTGAGTTGTGAATTTTTCCCTCTTGAATTTATGACTAGAGATCTTATGGAATGATTGATGTGACATTTGTAAAAGTATATTGGACAACTTTCAAAAATACTCCTAAAATTGAAGGTCTTTTAAAAAATCATATGAAAAGTATTTGGAAGTAAAAAAAATATTTTGTAAAAATAAGGATCACTTTTTAATATAAAAAGTGATATAATGTCACTTTTTTTTTTTTATTAAGGCCCCGTTCGGTAGGGATTAAAATTCAATTAAAATTAAAAATATGACCGTTATTGGGTCTCACTCGTCTAATAAAAGTCAACAATAACGACTATTTTTTCAATTTTAATCTGATTTTAATCACTACCGAACGGGCCCTAAGTATTAAAAAGTGACACAATATGACGAAAAGTAACGAAAATTTCAAGAAAGTGACAAAAAGAAAGTAGTGTGTAAAATTTTTAATATTTTATGTAACACACAAGTATGCATCTATTTAATTGATCTAAAAGAATTCACTATTTCAGTGAAAAAGAAAAAAAAAGTGACAAAATACCAATAAACCCCCAACCCATTCTCCACCACTGACTCCATTTCCTCACCACTACCAACCACATACACTCAGTACATTCTAATGGAAATGTGACGACATAATATAGTATAAAAGGAAATAGAGCAAGAGTAAGTTTTCAACTGAAGCGGAATAATCTTGATTGTAGCATTACAGAACATTGCAATTGAATTGTACATATATTGCTAAATTGAATTCTAAACCACATGTATTTATCTACACGTATAGCTGGAAGACATCCTTTTGGCTAGAACTCAAAATTGAATAGAAAGCTCATATTCCATGAAATATGGTAATCGTTAGCATCGATTGCAAAAGAAATTCCGGCTGGCAATTGAGCCACATGTCAAAGACCCATCTCATATACACCTAATTATTATTTTGCCGTGCAAAACTCGTCTCTAACATCGGATTCAGGTGAAGGAAAACAGTGAATGAGCCACCGTCTTCTTGTTGCATTATTTCATCTAGGGTTTTGGCTAAAAGAAGATTTTGATTAGTTGATACGGTTGGGAATGGGTTGAAACCTGGAGCTGCGACTCGATTGCAGACCTGAGTTTGCCGACGATGGTTTGCGGGTTGTCGATACTGACCCGCTCCAACTTTCCCCGCTTTAAATTCTAATCATCATTTTCACTAACCTATAATATACTTTCAATTAATTCAAATCCCTCAACATAAATTTCTGGGTTTTCAGATGAATTATAAGTATATATAGGTCTGTACATGGAGTAGTGAATAGGAAGAATCTCTTGTACAAGGCAACAAGAAGAAGAAAATAACTGATTTGAATTTATATTTTATAATAAATGTGAAAATGCAGTATTTTATACTTGAATAATTACTTTTCACATGATTTTTTAAAAGGATCTTATATTGGATTATGCTAGATATACACAATCATTTACACATTAGATTACACCCCACCCCCCACATGGAAGGGGGCCCACACAATAAAATATTCGTGGACCCCCTCAATGTGAGGGGGGTGTAACCCCGTGTGTAAACCAACGGGTGTACATCTAGCACAATCCTCTTATGTTTAGGGTATATAGTCTAATTTTCTCAATTATATTTGTGTCTTGTCTTGTCAAAAGGGTGTAAGAACATTAAATGCGTTGTAAACTAGGAATGTCAAAAGAATGGCTAGAATTAGATGTTTCAGCCAAGGAGACGAGGCTACGTGTAATTTCATCCAATGGTCATCATTCCGTTTGTTACAATATAAATACCCACTCCATGTGACCATTGAGGGATGATGCAACTCTTAACACTTAAAGCAACTTATTTTCTTCTTACGCACGTTGATTTACAGTCTTATACTTCGATTGCGATTGGTTATTATTGTACAATCGTATCCTGAATGGAAACGTCTCGTGTTGTTAAGTTTCTCCCGTGTTCAATTTAGGAGTGATCTCGACTGTTGATCTGTCGTTACATGTCGGAATTAGCTGCCCATGTACGAGTGGGTCCGATATCTCTTGGCAGCATATTTTGAGGTCAACAAATTATGTTCTTTGGTTTTGATTTTTTTTGGCTTTAAGTGACTTTCTAGTGTTTGAACAGTTCAAGAGAAGGTTCTTTGTCGGAGAAAATGTAGTTCTTTGGCTTTAATGTGATATTAATGCCAGCCTGAATCTTCCCTTTCAGAGCACAAATGAGAATGTGGTTCAATATTTCTTGATGTGCGGAAAAAGGAAAAAAAAAAAAAAAAAAAAGCAGCATCAAGAGGTTCCCACTTTCCTTCTCTTATGCCAGGTCTGGGGGAAAACATGTTTGTTCGTTTTGCCGCTAGGGGAGAAGAACATTTATCGAAATCGAAGTACCTCTATGAGGGAAAAGGTTTTCATTGATTTCGCCCATAGGCGGGATCTGGGAGAATTGCGACTGATGAATCGCGATCAGCCGCTGATTCCCTTGCCGATCGTGCCACCATGCACACAAAATTTCATTCAATTCTGAGCTACTAGTAGAAGAGAAGATACTCTCCCTAGTTAGGCACGAGGAAAGGTTTAAAAGCATGTTTGGTTAAAATCTAGTTTGTTTATTTACTATCCCCATTTGAGCCTCATTTTTTTCAAAACTAAGGGGTCGTTCTCTTCGTGTTTCAATTTTTCATTTTAAATTTTGAATTTATTTTGAATTTTGTATTTTGATTATCCATTTTGAGATTATTGAAAATGTATTCTTTTTGCCATTTTCAAAATTTATTTTCAAAAATGAAAACACCCAAAACTTGTTCTATCTCTCATCTCTCTCTCTCTCTCATTTTCAAAATTTATTTTCAAAAATGAAAACACCCAAAACTTGTTCTATCTCTCATCTCTCTCTCTCTCTCTCCCTTCTTCCTCTCTTTGTCGTCTCACGGTGGTGGTGTGCAGTGGTTTTTGGGTCGGCGGCATGGTGGTGTACAGTGTTTTGTGTCATCTCGCGGTGGTTTTGGGTCTGTGTCATTTATGTCATCTCATGGTGGCATTGTGGCGGTGTTTTAGGGTCTGTAGCATTGTGGCTGTGGCGTCGCCGACTTCTTTTGCCGTTGTGGCTGTGACGTCGCCGAAGGTGGTTTTGGCGGTGCGGCGGTGTGGTGCAGGTGGTGTGTCCAGGAGGTGATGGCGAATGGTGACTTAACCAAAAACACCCTAAACGGGTTTAGAAAGTTTTGGCTTGATTTTAACTGAAAACACCTAAAATGACATTTTTGATGTTTTTGATTTTTTTTTTTTTTTTGTAAATTTTAAACTCGTTCTTGAAAATAGGTAAGTAAACATGTTTTCACTGTTTTGAAAAATCGAAAACAGAAAATGGGATGAAAACGACAAAGAGAACAACCCCTAATTTTTCTACAAACTTATTTTTAAGCGCACATTCTCTCATAAAATTATTTTATACATAAATTCAAATTTTCTTCTTACCTTCTAATCACACATTATCCAAAAATCACTATCAAGAAATCCATTTTCCCAAAAAAAGGCTCAAATTGGGGCATAATTAAGATTTACTCTTAGCCCTTGTTTGGTGGAAATTAAAATCAGACTTAAAATAGATTTAATAAAAATTGATAAAATACATAGTTAAAAAGTCATGAATCATATGAAATATATGATTAAAAATCATTATTGAATTTAACTTAGATTAAAATCTAAATTTTAATCCATACTAAAAAGGCGCTTCATGAAAGATTGTGATATCGAACATGACTTGAAACATGAAATGAGACCATTAAACTCTCCAAAAGCCCAAACAAATAGTGTTGTAGGTCCGAGATCTACATTTATGAATTGAAAGGTTTGAATGATCAACTCTGTAATCAGTTGTTAAAATTAATAGATCTTCAAATTGTTTATTTAAAAAAATGGAAATCCTTATTCGATGATCATTATACTTCCCGAAAATCGAAATTCAAAGTGAATTCCCGAGACTAATTCTGAGTATAGATTTTAACTACCTCTCTCGGTTACGAATTTTGGTAAAAGGTGCCAAACCTTTCAAGATGGTACGTGAAAAGCTTCACAAGGACTAGCATTTTTCTTTTATTGAAACTCGAAAGTAGAAAAAAAGTATGCTATTGCAGTGGAAAAAAGGTATTTTAAGTAGAATTTTTATTGGCATTACAAAATCTACTCAACTCTTGATGATCCTCAGATATTCTAGCATATTCAAGAATTCTAGCAATACCCTTTTTTAGCCATAAATATTGGATTCAATTATATCTTCAAAAACAGCACCTCAAATTTTCCAAATACAAAAATAAAAATGATCTTTATAAAATTGTAATTGTTCTTTTCAAACTCTCACAAATTCTGTAATTTATTTACATAATAGGGCCAGACAAGATATGGTACTATCAGCCAGGGAACTTTTTGCTCCTCTTCTGGGAAGTCTTGGCAAGGGCATCACAAATCTCTCTTTTTCTTTTGTTATTGTTGTTTTGGTTATCCTCATTGATGTTTGATGAATTCTTCCCCTGTCCCTGTAGTGCATCTTTTATGAAAAACTTCAATTTCCACAATGTCGACTCACTCTGCATGAATCACATAAACGAATCAGTTACTCTACTATCTCCGAAACAAGAAGTGCATGTTTGGTATTATCCAATCCTCCCTAACAGAATTGCCATAAATTTTAGAAGGGTTAAAAACGGCTTTATAACCTGAACGTCCATGTTAATTTCCACATCTTCCCGGGCTGCTTGAAAGTCCGGGTTACTCTGGGCAACGATTTCCACTGCCTTGTCGATATCCTCGGGAGATAACTTGGCAATAGCACTGCTAAGTCTTCTCTTCTCTTCAATCGACATCTTTCTGGAAAGCAAACTTCAAAATTAAGCACCAGGATATAAACTAGGAGATTGAACAATCCTAATTACTCTCACAAAAGAAATAACCAGCCATGTGATTCAATAAATTAATCTGCAGTAGCGATGGGTTGATGAAGGGTAAACACTGTATTTAATCATGTGCCATAATCATAACAACCTACATAGTATTTTGGCTGGCACTGAGATGAGTTTCACATTGTTTTTAATGATAATGTTAGGTAAACATCTCATCTATTAAACGACTGAGATTTCCTCAACAGCAAGAGATATTTAGCAGTTAATGCAATAGATGAGATTTTGGTGTAGATAGAAAGAAAATCTAGTTTACTTTTTCACTTATTGTAAGAAAAATTTCACATTGTTTATTAGAAATTAATGATGACATCACAGAGAATACAATCTCACTTTCACAACTATCGATTTTTATTTACAAATATTTTGAGTATTAAGAGAGTTTTATTGGGAATAGTGCTCGGTTCTTTGTTATTTTTTTGTTTGTGAGAGTTAACATATGATAAGCTTAATTAAGGACCAAATCATGAATATAACAAATGAGATACCAGCATGGTATAAAAAAAAAAATTCGGCGCACTACATTAACGAGAAAATGGTCCTTGTGAAAAGTACTGTTAGTGCTCCAAAATCCCATCAATATCACTTTCTCGTTTGTCTGTCGTTGTAGCAATTCTCTCACCACCCTACTAAGGGAGTCACATTTTTTCCCCTGATTTACTTATAAAGTGAACCCTCTCTGGAATTCTGAAATATTCTAAAATGGCCTCAGATAGCTTTCAGCTGGCATGTCATGTACAATTTCTCAGAATATCTCCAAATAGTCTAACACGGAATCAAACAGAAGTGGACTAGGTTTCTATAGATATTCTCAATTTGATGATCAAGACCTATGTCACTTCGTCTCTTCTAAATGAATTAAAATAATCAGATAATTGATATGGGCACAGGAACTTGTTCAATATTTTCATTGATGTCCAATTGTCCATTCTGTTCAGATATATCAAAGCACTTTAAATCATAATTATTAACAATGTTTTAAGCCATGATAAATGAAAAAAAGAAGTAGAAGATTGAGTAATAAAAAATACAAAATATAAAAATTATTAGAAAATAAGAAAGAGAAAAAGCTCGTAAGATATTTATATATCTTTGATACGACTTTAAAATAATAAAGAGAATACTTATGAATTTTTTATTTTAAATTATCGTGCTACTTCACGTTATGAAATTGATTTTTAACTTATATCTTAACTTTCTAATATAGCCCCTATTCGGTAAGAATTAAAATCTAAATTTTAACATAAGTCAAAGTTAACCATTAATTTTAACCACATTTATGGGACCCACAATTTTTCAAACACACATTTCATCAACTTTTTATCAAAATCTACTAAAATTCTAATTTTAATCCACACCAAATGGGGGCATGGTATATTTATTCTTAAAACTTCATTTTAAAAAAAAAATCTTTTAGTTAGATTTCCGAACTGACAATGACCAGTTGACAGGGTGCTTTAACGGGCTCGGTGTCTGGTTTGGATCTGATAACGCGATTGAGACTTGTATTAAATAAAATATATTACGATTTTATCAGTATAAGCAGGGAAGATTAAAATGCTAAACTATCTTGTGTCAACGTGTCGTCAGTTCCTGCAGATGACAAGTTTTGTGCATTTATTATTTCCCCTTAAATTCCTAGAGAGCTTAGGGAAGCATTGCTAGGCCGGTGATGTGTATCATAAGATAAATGTAACAAATAAATTCCCATATAATTATTCGAAGCAAACGAAATCAATATTTCACCATTATTTAGCATGTAATAATTATCCAACAGGAGGTATTTGCGAAGAGTATAGAAAGGATGTTAAAACTAAACGAATTGAACACATTTGATAATAGAGAAAATTCATCCAGTTTAAACCCAAAATATATGAACTTCTTCGCCCACATTGGAACCAAATAAAGTGCAGAATTATTACGAAATATAGATATAAATTTAATCAAACAATGCAAATATTATTTCACAAAAAAGTTGAGATCCAGAGCTAAGTTCTATCTAAAAGTGTATAAATGACAAACCTGCAGTTCTGAAGTACCATATCTCTGAGTTCTTCCAGATTCATCTCAACCTGGTCCAGCTGTAAAAGATTTAAATAGTTTTCAGACTTCCAAGATTTTCTTAAATAGAGTGCAAAACACCCAGATATAATGCAGGATGAAATTTAGAAGTTCTAAAAGTTCGGGTTTTTCTTGGATATTTGTCTCCATAGAAAGTGTTTTATTATTAACTACCTCTCCACTTAAATCTTTGGCCATTTTGGCATGAGCAGCATCTTGAGTGAGCTGCATTTCTAGCTGCATCTCTGCTTCTTCCTCTTTCCGTCTTTTCTCCTTCAAGTACATAGTTTTAAAAATCAGCCAGTGGTGCTGAAAAAATGAAATTAGTGGTGCATTAAAGAAACTAAAACAAAGTTAATGGTTTTACCTTATAGTCATCACAGTGGTGCTGAAATAAATTATCAAACAATTTTAATATGTACCCTTGGCAAGGAATACCCGAGAAGAAATGAAATGAATGGTTTATTATCTAACTTCTCAAGGATGGGTACCTAAGATTCAAAGAGGTTCAAGACATCAGCTAATTATTATGGCTAATTCTTACCTCTTTATTACTTATCCAACAAATAAAGAAACTAATAAGTACCTCTTCATCAACTTTTGGCAAGAGTTGCAGCCACTTTGTCTCAAACTTCTCTAACAAAGTTTTGGCCATCACATGGACATCGTCCCTTTCCTCGTTATATTTCATCGCATTCTTAAATATCAACCTCACGTCTGCACAAATCTCTCTTACATTCTTATATTCGTTACCATCCTTAGCCTCCATTTTGCTTTTAATAGTACTGAAGTCCATGGGCTTCTCAATAACCTAGTATATATCACACACAACATATTATAAGAAGCCATGAGTCGAAATAGCAAATAAGGGGAAAAAAAAAAGGAAAGAAGCAGCTTAATAACGGAAAGAGACTCTAACAAGTGATTCAACAGAAGACAAACTGACAATGTCCTCATGGCTTTCATTCTTTATGTCTCCAAGATATAACCAACTCCCTGAGGACTGCAACTTTTATTAAACCCTCCCAAGTTTACATGTGCCGCGATTTTTCTTTTAGTTGATGGGCATATGGGGGCAAGTATGGATGGACAGATGAATAAACTCCATATTTGGATCCAACATAGTCAATATGCATTAAGGAAACTAAAACAAAGTTAATGGTTTTACCTCATAGTAATCGTGCAAACCAAGACCTACCACATCCACAGGTTGCATAAATGGTCCTGCCCATCTGTGCTGAGTTATCTGTCAAGTATAAAATCAAGTAGAAGTAAGTAAACAAGTAAAAGCGGACATTACACTTCAGTGGAAATAAAATGTAGGGAACTGATGGGATCAGCCGGAAAGTCAAGTTTTAATTGCAAATCCCCACATACCACAATTGAGAATGATTCAAAATAAAAGTATCAACACTATATTTGAATACATAGGAGAAAAGGATGAACCACACTGTAATCAGCAACTTTGTGATATTTTATCAAAACAAAACTAACGTGTACGGAATTATGAGAGAGAAAGTTTACTCCATTTATTTATCCGATCAGTGGTAAACTACAAGTAAATGTAAAAAACAAGAAACATCAACGAATGCCTGAAATTTAGAATTATTTGTTCACTCACATTAAAGTCTGTGTTTTGGCAAAGAATACCACATGAATAAAGAATAAAGCCAAACGAATGCTTCAAAAAATTAATGGAGGGACCCACTTCAAATAATTGAATAAATGCAATAAGAAACTGATGTTAGTTGGAGGTTCATAGACTACCTAAAAGATGTTCAATAAAAACATAGCAAGAAAGATGTTAAACACCATAAAACTTTCACAGGGCCCCCATGTGTAGGCAGCTACAGTAGAAGGCTATAAACAATATTGCAAGGATAAATGCAGCATTGATGATTACCTGGCGTAATATTGTTCCAAATTGGCGCATTAGCTCTTGCATTCTCTTACCAGCAGCTGCTTCCCTAGTGGCTGCATCTTGTTGCCTCCTCTTAAAGCTGGCAAACAGCTTCTCCCTATCTTTTTCCTTCAGAACTGAGCTACCTTTTGGAGTGATTGGCTGCTTTTTATTGGCAGATGAATAAAATTGCTCAACCTCATTTAAGTTTTTCTCTAGCTGTAATACAAAGAGATATAATTATGTTCTTACATGTACAGTTATCAAAACTACTCCCGGAATAAGAATAGCATTTCCCACTTGGGGAATACAGTATTTGGTATCAAATTGTAAAGTAGAAAGAATGAACTCTAAAACAATAACAGGGATCTTGAATAAACTACACAAAAAATCATATTATTTCTACAATCTCAATGCAATAATTTCAAGACAAAATATCATACATTGAATCACTACAAGAGACAAAATATGTCAGAAATAGAATCAAAATTGATGAGAAATAACAAAAGATTAAATCCGATACTCATATCTAAATTCTACCTGATTAACTTTTTTGAAAATCTCATCCACCCGTTGGTTATAACTCTCCACATCGGATACCTTGTCCATGGTTTCTTGTGGCACCACAGCAAGGGCAGCATCATTCACTGTTTCCATCTGTTACTCAACAATTTCGGTCATGAGAAATAAAATTACAAATACATTTTTTATCAAAGAAACACCAGAATTTCACAAATAAAATTATCAAAGATCTATTTTTTTTTTTTGCTTTTTTCTCCAGAAATCGAAAACCAAAAGGCTAATTTTTTTTATAAAGCAACAACGAATAGGTAGCTCACGAAGACACGAACACGTATAATTTCGTGCGTTAGCGTGCGCGCGTCTTTGTGTCCAGAAAATTCAGCATAAAATCGACATAACTGTACAAACAAACAAATTAATAGATGCCTAAAAGTTTGTTATCAAATTCATATACGCACTGACAACAATTCGAATTCGAATTTCAAAATCAATTTAAAACAATTAAAGTATTTGATTACCTGGGTTTTGGGAAAATCCAAGAAGCAGAAGAGAAAACAAGGTGTATGTGCTGCGTCTGTGCTGTCTATTTGTAGGGTGCAAAGTAGCAAATTTTCTCTGTAGAGTTATTGGGAAGATGCTTTTAACTATTTAAAATAATATTTTAGATAATGATAATGATGAAGTATCAAAACATAACTTAACCGTTATAATTAGGGGCGAAGTCATTAATAATGTCTAGTGCTTATACAATTTAATTAAAGTCGAATTTTGATTTTTCAGGGCATGAGATGGAGTTAAATTTCAACTCTTAAATTAAAGTATGCAGTATGCATTCAATTTTTTTTAACTGATATATTAATTCAAAACTCGATAAATCAATAAAAAATAAAACATGTCCAAAAATTTTATTTAATACACAAACAAAGCAATAAGTGTACATTCTACTTATAAAATAAAATTATGAACAAATATATCAAGTTTTGATATGCATGCTATTAAATTAGGATTACTCTATGTGTACATAGATTAATCCATAGATGTTGGCGTTTATGTGGCATTAAATTATAGATGAAATTAAATAAGTCATTTAATTTCACCTATCATTTACATCCACATAGACTGAGGATGCATCCCCACTGGAGATGAATAGCATTTTTCTAGATGTTGACATAATGTGAGTGGAGTAGGGCCCACGTTATCGTAGCATGGACATCATCTCACTCACATTATGTCAACACCTATGTGTACACATAACATGACCCATTAAATTAACCAAGATTTGCACCAATTTCTAGCCTCAAATAAACTTTATCCGAACATTTTATATAATTCTACACTTTCCTTAGCCATAGTGCAAAGTTTATGGGTCTTAATGCAAATTTCATGTCTAGATAAAATCTTGAGTTTATAATGGGCGGTGACTTCTCTCTGTCTCTCTACATATGTACGTATATGTATAGAATATATATACATGAGAAAGGTTTAGGGTGCTTCTTGCCTCGGTAATTTTCTCCTTTTATTTCTCTGTTTCTCTCTTTAATTCTCTCTACATATGCACATCGGCAAACAATGTGCCTTTTTATTGTATTTTATATTATTTTTTGGCATGAACTGTCCTTTAAGGCTCTAAGGTGGCTCCGCCCCTGAATTTATAACCAAAGTTTATGTAACGTTAATATTTCACATTTCATTTAGTCTAGTACCTAACACCACAAAAATGGGGATTATAAACTCGATGGGACTAATATCATTGTTCAAAGGATAAATCTACTTGTACATCAAGGTATCCACCCCTCTCACATGGGGGTGAGACTCACTTGTATAAAATATTTTTTTATTTTTGTGGGTCTCACCCCCATGTGAGAGGGGTGGACACCGTGATGTACATCGTGATGTACTCGTAGCAAAATCGTTGTTCAAATTGTTATGTATATATAGGACAACCGTAGTTATATTCCCGATTTTGGAATGGGAAAAATGATTAATTACCTCTTTTAATAGATTTTAAAAAATTATGAATTTTAATAATTTCATGAGTATGAACAAATTTTCATAGAATCTCATTAAAAATGATGAAATTTTAAACGAATTTTGTTATGCGTATTTTTTAAGTTTGAAATCAAATCTTTATAAATTTTATTCATGGAATAATTATTAATTTACGAGTAATTAAGGATGTCTTGGCTCTATTAAAATCTCAATTTAGGACACCTAAATTTAGATGGACTTTTAAAATTCACTAAAACTTTTATTAATGACATCATGTTCATAAATCAGGTCATGCTTCACAATTTTTTTTAAAATAAAAATTAATATTAGTTGATTTAAATGATAATTAATTTGGCCTAAATTGGTGAATATACAAAGACAACATGAAATATATACAGATTAAAAAAAAGAAAAATTCTCACCATATTTGACCCTAATATTCGGCAAGAAAATTATTCTATCTCCATGTTCATTCTTATGACCATCTGTGAGGATTAAGGAAATAGAATCGTCGGTCACAACCAACAAACTGCATTAAACATTTGGAATTATATTACATGAAGGTGCTTTCTGTTGTCTTCTAAGAGTTGCAATGAGTTTGTATAAAATTTATATACTCTATTATATGCCTCTCGAAATTGTGTCAAATGTATAAAAATTGTGACCACGGATGCACCGGGCCAAGGTCATATAGGCCTTGTCTGTTTCTGCTTTTAATGAAAATCCGAAACGTTGTAGCCTCCATTTTTGACATAATTGTGAGAAAATTGGCCCCACTGTTTGAATATAATGATAAAAAAAAGTCATTTCTTCTGATTTTAATTGGAACCAGACAGGCACATACTGTGATATTCTTATCTATGCGACTTCTTTTTTTACGAAAGTTGTAATGAATGTGTGGAGAATGATACATGTGACTTCCTTTCCCTCGTAACTCGAGATACATAAAATCTTCTCCTATTTCATAATGAACAATTAGAATATGGATAAAATTCTTAATAATAAGGATGAAATTTCTCTTATCAACTCGGAACACATATGGCAAAGACACAAGGTTTCTCTCCAAGGAAAGGATTATAAAATTAGTAATATTAAACTTTTGAATAATAAACTCAAAGACAATAATCCCTAAACCATTGGAATTTGTAAAAATGGAAAATCAAATACTAAAAGTATATTTAAATTATTATTTCTATATAATACCTGATTTATGAATAAAAAGTGTACAATTATGCTATTTGTACAATCATACTTGATAATAATGGTCGACAATGTTAGTGTTGTCAAAATTTGGACCATTGATTAAAAAAATATTTTTTGAAATTGATGAATATGATGTTGATAAGTGTGAGTTGTTAATCAATATTGTCAAACTAAATTATATATGTAACATGATTCAAACATGTATTACCTAATTTTTATAAGGAAAATTTTAAAGCACGTTAATCTAATTTTCTCTTTTGGAATAATAAAAAAATTAGTGTGAAAAACAGCTATTTAGGGTCGAAAACAAGAGATAATTTTCATTGTTAGATGAACTGTGAAAAGATAGAGTTCTAATTCTACTTGGAAAATTATTTCATAGGGAAATATCTTTTTAACAATTATCTCATAAAGAAATGTCATTTGTACACTCCGAAGTGTAGATCATACTTGATATTGACTTTGTTTTAAAAAAAATTGCTGGGGGGAAAACAATTTTTTTTTTAAAAAAAGAAAAAATATCAAATGACAATTTCCCATGTGGCAAATTATCAAATGTGGTGTACACCAAGGATGATTTTATTCAATCATACTATATAAACATCAAGATTGACTTAAATCTTAACTTAATATCACGTAATGTTATATTATTGAATAGTTTAAAACACAGTCAATTTTTCTATTCAATCAGCATCAGGTTCACAAAAGCTACCACGTCACTTTTTATATTCTCAAATACTTGGAAACTTTCACTTAAATTCATACGAAAAAGAATTCACTCAATAATTTGCACTACACTGATCAGCTAGATAATACCGTAGACAAGAATAAGTCTCTGTTTGCGAAATCCCTTTGACATATTTTTTCTTAATTTTTGTTATTTTTCAATTGTTACTGCACAATGGTATTGGTATTCCATAATTTTTTATGATTAATACTATACAAGGAATTATGAAATTTAAGAAGGTACACAAAATTATCATTAGGGACTTAAATAAATAAATTTTAACTAATACATTTTACACTAAAAAATTGTGCCGTGACAATTTAAATAAAACATTTGAATTTATAGTTTTTATACAAGAAAAAATAAATACTGTTTAGTCAAATAATTATGCATTATCTACTGTTAATTAATCAAAAACATGTTTCCATTTATACTGTCAAACAATCAATTTGATGTTCACAATACTTTTTTATTTTGTTAACAATCAAACTATCTTAAGCTTTTATGTAACAACTTGTAAAAAAATTTAGAATAATACTACTTGTACATAATAAAAATATATAAGAAATCCCGATTCAATCATATCTCACCACATCGTGTATATATAAACCATTACGTACATGTAACACAACCGAAATTTTTTTTAATAAAAGTTCTAGTCACAATAGCCATACCAAATAGATCCACAATCGTTTTTCACAAAAAATGAGAAAAGTTCTTTCGCGACACGAGCAAAACCAAAATAACTTTTACAAGGAAAAGAAGAAACTTCTATAACCATTAATACCTGATTGACTCCAAATTTCTAGTTGTTACATAATAAGATGCTACTTGCACCCTAAAAACATGCGCTTGAGACTACAAGTAATCTGCTACTATGGTAAGACCAGCTGGAGACCAGGGGATCGCACCAAAAATTAAGGTTCCTTTTTTGCTATGAATTTTAAGCCTTTTTTGTAACGACAGATCTTGCTTTCAGATTCAGAAAGATGGCCCTGTAGTTGTAAGTCCAACACGAAAAAGTTAGCATTTTGTTGTACGGTATGCATGGAACGTAAACACTGAACAATCGTATAATTTACTAGATATTTGAAACTAGTAAAATGGAAATGAGCACATAAAGAAAAGAATAGGAGGACATACAAAAAAGTTCCGCGTGATTACTGCATTGTAAGTTCAGAATTCTAGTCTAATTTTGGCTAAAGCAAAGAACATAAAGATTTGAAGAATTTTCTGCCCTTAAATCGCACAAGAGAAAGAGGGCGAGAGATCAAATAATTAAGAAACACATTGATACCAAGAAGCGTGGCACAGGAACACGATGCTTAGAATGGGACACCGGAGATAAGAATCTTAAGAGTGCATTCTGTTAATAATGTTGTGAATTCATTAACATCTGGAGTGGAAAAAATGTTCATATTATGAGGACCATATCAATGCCACTTTTGAACGATCAACTATATTAAAGTCCATGATCATGACTTATCCCGAGCTCGTTTTCTTGACTTACATATTGTTAAGCGAATATAGCAGATTCTATCACTATAAAGCCTATTTCACTCTCTCTTCAAACAGGCACTTCCCGGACAATTTTCTCATGAAAATTATACTTAGTGGGGGTTCCTATGCATCCCTAACAACCTGCACTGTGATTACACACACACACACACACAAAAACAGAGGAGACAAATAAACAAAGCTGATAGGGAAAAAGCTTGCTTACCACAACGAGGCCATAAAGCTGTGGAACAAAACACGAAACTGCAAAGGCATATACTGGTAGTTGATCCATCCGACTATTGGCCAAAACTGCAAATCAATAGCAAGATGGTATGACATTAGAACTGCAAATTTCGGCACCATTCCCTACTTTCACAATGTTATTGTGAGAAAAAGATGGACCACGTAGCTGTACCTTCCATGCAGTCAACTGTACCGAGGGGAAGTCATTCCTGATTTTATTTCTGACTAGACCCCATGGTCTTCCTGAAAAGACGCATTTTAGCTGTGACTAATAACCAACACAGTAGATTACAAGGATATATAAATCTGATTTAGTGCATGATCGGTCCACGGTATTCGACACCACTGAATGATTTAATGAACAAGAGTTTAGCCTTTTATCTTCCTTATAATACCTGCCCAATCCACTCCACCAAATATGCATTTAGTTGATTAACTTTTGCAGTGGTGCATATCCAACCCAATGTTTTTTGGGCCTAAGCATTCCTCATTAAGTAAAGGATCTACTCAAGCAAGGGAGTTCCGTGGAAAGAAAGATAAGTAACAATTTGATTCCTTGCAAGCACAGTTACAATCCACTTTCCTGATTTTCTTTATTTTGAAAATATCATTCTACATAGGAATCAATTTGGGCAGATGAAAACAATAGTTAATGAGTGAATACAAGAAATGAGAATGATTTTGTAAATTTCATGTAATGCATCGATTGAGAGCAACAAAATCATAGCAGACTCTGGGAGTAAAGTTAGTGCACTTGCACAATTTCATAATTAACTATAATATAGCAAATAGACATAACTTGATATACATGGAGTGTATTGCAGAATGTAAGGGAGTCGAGAGAAATAAGTTTAGTAGCATGTTTGGCTAAAGCTTCAAAAGACGCTCAAAAGCACCTTTTTTGAGAAGTATCATTTAGAGAAACAAGAACAGAGTATATTTAGCACAAAAGGCGATGGTGACTTAATTATGCACTTATGTTGTGCCAGAATGTGACACTTTAAAAAGATCAGTTGCAAATGGTCAAGGCTCAGAGTTTTGATTGCAGATGATGTGAGGTTTACTGGTTAATTCTCTTGATTCATTTCTTCGTCTCAACTTGGAAGGATGGGGTATTTGCATTTGCCTTAGGATATGTATGGGGAGATATTGCTATTCACATATGTGGACCATAATTCTCTTGATTATTTTTTGCGTCTCAACTTCCTTCTTTTGCTTCAACCTTTGCCCTATACTAAGCCAAAGCACCACTTGATCTCTTAAACCTCAAAATCACTCTGATAATTTTGACAATTATACTGAACCGTTATTTATTATGGCCAAATGCCTAGATACTAACAAAAATCATACATTTTCTCCTCTTTCTCTAACGTGATCCAAAAGTTCTTTTTTCATGCAGCAAGAACAAAATTGTATTTTGAAGTCACAGAATTATATAGCACCCCAATGTCTTCATTCAGTTTCCTTGGACCAATGAAAAGATATGCCAATTAAAAATCTGTCGGAAGAATAAACCTTGATATATGTATTTGAGTTATTTTATGCATTTGTCTTGTGAAATACTTATGTATTGTTTCAATAAATGAATCCTACGTATTAAATACATATAGGTAGTGAATTCATGTACTTTCCATATACATGAATCATCTCTAGGGGATGTATATAATAATGGTTGAAAAACACTATGTTTTACAAGACATATAAAGCCCTTGTTTCCATTTATCAAAACTCATTTTTCCCAAACTTGTACACTTTATGGGATCCAAAATTTTTATTTACTTTTCTACAAAATATTTCATCAACTTTTATCAAAATATACTAAAAATTTGATTTTTAGCAAAACCAAACAAGGACAAAATATAGTAACACTAGGCATATTATGTAAGTCAGTCAAAGAAATGAAAGTTCTCTCTCTAATTATCCTTGCCTCTATAAAAAATTAGTCTTCTCCAAGTTTCCAACAAAATCATTGAATAAACTAAAATTCAACCAATTAACTATTATAGGTTTCTCATATGCTCATTCAAATTTAGAAGATAACAAGAGTTTCTGATCTTCGCATTAGTTAGTGATATCGCATAGGAAAAGAATCATAATATATCATTTGTGATATCTACGAGTTCGAATTCTGATTATAGCATCTGATTTTCTGGGGGATCATTAAAAAAATATGAACAAGAGAAGGAATACCTTCAACTACCAATCCATAGTACATCATGAACAAGAAGTTGTTCCAAGGAGAGGAAGTCAATTGTTCCAACAGAACCTACAGATAGGAGAAATAATGTAACATATCCGAATACACAGTTAAGAAATTATTTTGCAGCTTACCTTTTTAGCAACAGTTTTATTGCCCTTCTTTCCTCTGAATATGAGATCCATCAATTTGTGCAAAAAGTGCCCAAATGGTCCAGAATATGCAAAGCCATATAGCTGCATAGCAATTGAATTTACCCTTCTAAATTTCAATGATAATCATATATAAAATTAAAGATAATTTAAATAAATAAATAAATTCGTAGAGCAATGAAAAACCAGGTGGTCGAAGCACAAGTACATCAGCGAGTGATCATATCAATTAATTCAAGAAGAAATCATATTTAGGAATCACCCAGAGAAATATAAAGTAACGAGTACCATCAAAAGAAGTATTCTTCTCAATTGAAGCTTTTTCACCCCAGAAATCTTCTGAGCAACTACATCACTAGTCCCAATCAAGACTCCAGCAGTGATTGCCTAACAAAAATATTAAATCAAACACCATGATCATTCAAAAAGACGATTCAACGATATATATATATATATATCGCATACCTTGGTTCTCAAGGGATGAACCTGCAGTTCTACCAAATACTTCTTCCAAGCTTCGCTTACAATCTCAGACATGATTTTTTCTCTCTAAATCTAAGAATGAAAAGGGAGAAAATTTTCAACGTTGAAGATGGCCGTTGTTCTTCAACATTTAATATACTCCGTAAATTTTCCACCTAATTACTTTTCTTTATTTATTATACTGTAAATTTCCATGAATCCTCTTGGCTATTTCACTCTCTGTCTCTCCTCGAAACTCTGAGCTGCCAGCCCCCACATTTGAATTTAATAAAAAATTCAGTAATTAATAGGAAAAGTTTCATTAGTGGTCCTTAACCTCTACTCCCTTTTGTACTTGTATCCACAATTTTTGTTTCTTTGCATATTTAGTAGTAATGTGTTTGTATAATAGTTGGATAGTAAGTCGCGACTTCTATAAAATGTGTATCTTTGTCAAAACTACTCTAGAGATCGAATATTATTCATGCGCTAGCTAATTCAAAGATAAGGCACGAATGTAACGATTCCAGTTGGGTCTATCTTATAAATCTAATAGTCGACGATTCAATTTGTGCCCTCGCGTCCTTCATCTCTTAGAAGGCTTACATACTATTCTGGTGGAGCAATTCTATGAATTTCCTATTGTTTCACGTTTTCATGGCGATCGATTTCGTTGGTTTTTTGTTCAATAAAATTAGTTAAGTTGATGAAAAGGTTAAAGTCGCCTGAAAATAAAAAGAAAAGCTAAGGACAAAAATGTAAAGGGTTATGATTCAACGAGGATTACTAATAATTAAATACTAAGTTCAATAATTTAAAGTGGAAGTGGTTGATGAATAGCATTATTTACCTTTTCAATACCTTTTTTAATGAATTCAAAGTCAATATTAACTCCAACGGGGTTGGATTTCATATAAATAATAAATTATACACGTGTTCATTGCTGATTTTGTAACCATAGTTGTGAGATTTTTTATTTAAATATTTAAATAGTTATATTCATTTCGATGAAATTGCAACTGAAATTACAAGAAGCTGACACTAGTGAAAAAGGTGCAATAAAGCATATGCAATTGCATTAAATCGTTACAATAACTACGTCATGAATCCTTTTAAATACATGAATTTCTATCATTATCTTGTGTAAGATCAAATTACGCTATTTAATGGGAAAATTGACCTAACAAATCACGAGACTTTAGAAATTGTTGAGTGCTTACCTACTCATTTTCTTTTATACTTCTTTGTACCCCACCTCTCTCTTTTCCCATAAGGAGTACAATTAAAAAACATGTATAAAAATCATAAAACTAGCAAGAATTATATGGATCTTAGAGAGTATAATCAAAATCGCATGATAGAATGGAAAATATAATCAAAATACATGACGCCTGGAAAAAACATGGAAACGGGGAGCATCCGAGCACCATTTAAAGAGTATTTCTTAGATTGATAAGACCATTTAGGAACGAGATTTACTAGTAGTTTGGTGGCCAAAATTGTATGTAATGAATAAATGAAAATCCTTGATTAGATGAAAAAAGTATCCATATTGTACATAAATATTGATGTGTTCTTATGTTTTTTTTTCCTTAGTATGCAAGAATTTTTGGATAAACAAAAACTTACTCCTACAAAAGAAAATATTTTCCTTAAAAATAAGGAAAATCAGACATAGTTTCAAAAATAAAAAATTAATTGAGAAAACAAAGCAGTGCTGGACATAACAATGTTATTTAAAATAGATGTTATCTATCACATATTTGGATGCTGATTGTATTCTCACCACACCACAAAAATACAGGCTATGAAGATTCATTTCTTTTTTCAGGAAGTCAATTCTTTGGCAGATTTATGATTTGGTGGGTAAATTTCATGATTTTGCTTATAAAAGAAAGTGGATTTTAATGATCATGAACAAGCATTTTCTTGATGAAAAGACCCTTTCTTTATGTCTTAAAATTGGTTTACATGAAAACATCTTTATCTCGTGTTCGAATTTTGAAGTGAGATTTTTAGTTTTTTACAGGTTATAAAAATGTCATCTCGAAGGAATGCTATGTGACTACTATTTTAGCCATGTGGGCTTCTGAGCGAGTTGTTCAAAAGAAAGCGTAAGGTGTATATGAAGTGGATGCCATGGTGCAATTGGTAGGTCGGCAATGTGGGTTCAAATTTAGTGGGAGAATTTCCTATGGGATTCATTGCAATGTAAATCAATTTGTTTGAGGCAGAAATTTGAAGAGCACCGATTTCACATCAATTTTCTGACCAAACATTACTTCTAAATATGATATCTTTTGTGGCTCGAACAATCATCTATTAATAGGGAACCTAGGTTAGTTACATCTCAGTTTTCTCAAACATTTACGATCAGATGTTGTTTTGAGTTCTAGATTTACGTGTGTCAAATTCTAATTGGTTGATTTCATCTTGATTCTAAATCTGCTCAAATGGTCAAATTAAGTTCATCATTTTTTCCCCTGTTGCAGCAATGGGTTGATCATGCACAATATACATACTTAAACATAGAAAATTCCTTCCCACCCCAGTTTCTTCAAATAAGGCTGCCTAAGAATATAGCATCCCTCGAGATCAAAAAATTGAAGAAGCCAACCAGAAGCGATGCCAGGAAATTCGTTCAGTACAAGCACAATTTAATCGACGCCGAATTTTGAGTTTTTGATTATAGATTTAATGATGATAACATATAAAACAAAAGTATATGTATACATATACATATACATATAAACTCCAATTGGGTTGGGCCCGAATGTAGGCTTGCACTGGACCACAATGAACTCCACTCTAGAGATGGAGCCAAAAAATTCGTTCAACACGAGCACAATTTAATCAATGCCGAACTTTGAGTTTTTGATTATAGATTTAATGATGATAACATATAAAACAAATGTATATACATATACATATACATATA